GCAATATAACACATACCAATTCATCGATATGTCCAGCTGATAGTCAATTTATTGAAGATCATACTCCTCTTTTACGAAAATCATTATATTCATCAACAAATCTTTCATTATTATGTTGTAAATCTCGAGGTCATTGTGTTTGTTCAACATGTCCAAAAACAATATGTGGAGAAAATTCAATTATTCAAATATATCGTACAGGCAATCAAGATATTCCCGGACAATGTTGTGATCAATTTAAATGTTTTCAGAGTAGGTGAGCCACAGGGGAATCTAGACAATAATAATAAAAAAAAAATTATTTTTTCTTTCTATTAAATCTAGACTCGAAACAATGTTATCATGATAAAAAAATTTATAATGAAAATGAAACATGGTCTATTGATCATTGTACAACATGTACTTGTCGTGCTGGACTTGTTGAATGTGCTATGATACAATGTCCTATTTATACACATTGTGGATATATGTATAAACCAGAAAATGAATGTTGTCCTAAATGTGGAGGTTAGTTATTTAGTTAGTTTTTTTTTTCAGAAGATATACATTATCAAGTTCTACTATATTCTACTGACCTGTCGAAAGATGACATGCATACTAGAATACAATGAAGTAGCACCGTCTCTTGTCATGTCAAGTAAAACTTGATACTGTATACATCATTAGTTCAATGAAGCTTTTGCTACATTGTCTACATATAACTAGTTCTGTAGTTAAAACATTATCGTATTGTTCTTTTGATTTATATAGGTTGTTTAAATGATCGTTTACATGTTCAACATATGAATTCAACTTGGATTGAATCAAATGGTTGTATGCGATGTTGGTGTGAAAATGGTCGATCACGTTGTATTGCTGAAGGATGTATAGCACCACCTTGTGAAAATCCCCGTCAAATAGCAAATGTTTGTTGTCCCGTATGTGATGATCCTGACAATGATATTGACTATTCTCATGAAATTGATGCAAGTATTTCTCCACAAATACAACCAACAACTGATAAATGTCCTCGACTTGATAAATGTTTATTAGTATGTGAACATGGTTTAGCTAAAGATGAACAAGGTTGTTTACAATGTGCTTGTTCAACCATGTCATGTCCATCACCATTATGTACACTTAAATTTGATCGATCATCAAAACAATATTGTTCATGTATATCACCAAATGGTCTTAATTGTGGACAATTAAATTGTGATAAACATTGTCCATATAATTATTCAATTGATAAAAAAACTGGTTGTCCAACATGTGAATGTAATCCATGTCCATTATTAACATGTACAAAAAATTGTACTTATGGTTTAAAACGAAATGAAGTTGGTTGTCCCATATGTGTTTGTAAAAGTAATATAAAAAAGGAAAATAATACAAAAACTACTGATCTTTTAAAACCATCATGGCCAAAATTATGTTATTCAGGTTCATTTTCTTATTCAAATGGTGAAATATGGTTTGATGGTTGTCGTCAATGTTTATGTCATAAAGGTGAACCATTATGTGCACTTATATCATGTCCAACTCCTAAATGTTCACAACCAATTCGTTTACCAAATCGATGTTGTCCTACATGTCCAGGTAAGATTATCTTTCTTTCCTTTTTTTTTTTAAATCTATTTCATTTTTCTTTTTTAAAAGAAATTCCTATATTACCGGAACCTATTCCATCATCTCAAGTATGTTATGCCAGTCAATATGTTACTGGTGAAGAACTGGAGTTTGATACATGTACAAAATGTGTATGTTTACATAACATTGCATTTTGTAGTGTACCATTATGTCCTCCATTACGTTGTTCATCACCAATATATGATTCATCTTTATGTTGTCCAATATGTCCACCATCTCAAAAACCAAATTCATTACCAACAGATCATTTATCAAATACAGATGAAGATATTTGTATACTTGATAATGGGCTAATAAAATATGCAGGAGAATTATGGAAACATGATGATTGTCAATCATGTATTTGTCCACGTAATAATGGTGGAAAAATAGAATGTTTTTCTCAAACATGTGATCAAAATTTACCATGTTCAAATCCAGTACTTAAAAAAGGTCAATGTTGTCCATTTTGTCTTCCACCAACAGCTGCTGTTGCTGTTTGTATTTTTAATTATATTCAATATCGTTCGGGTGAACATTGGAATGTTAGTTTAAAGAAAGAAAAATTTTTTTTTCTTTTTAAAAGTATTTCATGTAAATTTATTTCTTAGGTAAGTGAATGTCATCGTTGTGAATGTTTATATGGTACAATTGTATGTCATCAACATCAATGTCCTTCATTGACCTGTATACATACAGTTACATTATCAGGTCACTGCTGTCCTATTTGTCGCGATCAATTACCTTTTATTCATGATCAAGGCAAACGTATGTATTTACAATAAGATTTATATTCAAATCTTAAGCACTACTGGATAAATTGAATCATATCAAGACACCAAGTTTTGTTTTGTGAAATACGATCTAAGAGAATTGATGAAATATATAGGATAGAGTCTTGCCTTTCTCTTTTGGTCACAGACTATGATAGACATTGTTCATATACGATCAAAGACCGTATATGAATAGTGTCTCATAATAACATATGACCTATTTTCTATTTGTATTTCTGAGAGATTAAACCAAAGATTGGGGAAGAAATATATCCCAAAACAGACAGACTTAATCGTCTCCCTATGATTGGCAGCAGCAACTACATGATGTTTTACATTGTAATTCCATAGAGATTGTGCTAACAGTTTTTCTTATGATAATATGCATTCTTAGTTTGCCCAGTAACCCTCTTGAAAACTAAGAAACCTACTCACGAGTGAAGAACAACATAATAGAATCATTCAAATAAACATTTAGACAAAATGTTACTCAACACAAGATGATAAAAGTCAGTCAATGTCTTACATATTGTTGGACTGATCCTCCGAAGATCGTATTAGTCCTTGCAGAGTTTATGGTTATTGCACTATGTATCTATGATCTCCAAAATAGATGTCTACCATTTCAAAACTTTAAAACGCTTCTCTGAAAGAGAAAATTAAAATTTTGACTTATGTTTTATTTTTCTTCGTATTTTAGTTCCTATATCTCAATCACGTTTAGGTGTGACAATCGTTATTATATTTTCCGTATCAATCCTTATTCTTATTTTTGTTATATTAACTCTTATTTTCATATTATTACATGGACGACATAGATCTCTATCAGCTTCTAATCAATTAACAACAATTCATCATCGTTCACCTACAATTTCTCATCATTCAACTATAATTAATTCTAGACCATCAAATATGTTTTCATATGTTAAATATGATTTAATGTCAACATCAAATGATAATCATCATGATAATAGTATTAATATGAATAATCCAAAACAAAGTTTATCATCATCAAAAAGTATTCCATTACAATCACATGAACAAACATCAACATATTCAATGATTGAAACAAATACAACAACAATAGGTACAAGTTCATCAAATAATGAACTTGAACCAACTACATGGACTGAAGATGATGCTATGTTACAATGTAGTGCATGTAGTAGTAATGATGATGAAGAAGAAGAACATGAAATAATTAGTAGTGACAATGATGAATCTCATCAACAACAATTGTCTCATCCCCAAATTCATATGATTACTGGTCCTCCTACTATTATCTATGTTTAATTCCTTTTTATTTTCCTAAAAAAGAGAAAAAGAGTAACCAGCCCACGACTAGAGATGATGATTTTTGTATATAGAATCTCTTTTTTTTTTTCTCAGATAGAAGTGGCCATTTTCTTTTTGTTTCTTTATGTGTATTATAGAGGTTGATGAATGATGTATACGGTGTGTGTGTGTTTGTGTTTGTAAGCATTCTGTGGCAGCTTTTCTAACATTTATACACTCACACATTAAAAATAAATATCGAATTGAAATTTTTCTACTTTAGTTTAAGATTCGAATTAAGAATATTTTTGCAATACAATAACTATTGTTAGATAAATTTTTATCAATAGTAAATGTCTAAAATGTTTGGTAAAGAAATATTCTGATGAATTTCTTGATGATAAGCAGGAACATATGTGGACGACATACATCCCATAATAATTGAAAATTATTCGTTATTACCCAGTAAAACTAGCAAGCTCTGTGAGAAATTTTCTTATGCATTCTATATCTAATCTTGACATCCTTGAATGATATATGCTTAAGAATTAGAGCAACTGAATCAATACAAGTAGCAGCAAAAGCAGGTTTCTAATTAACTAATATAATTACATAGATAAATTCTGTCAGTCCATTACTATAACGAGAAAAATAGACGTACGAAATAAATTACCAAACAAGATAAAAGAATATTCTGCAATAAATTAAAGATAACAATCTTTAGATGATGTCCTAGAATTCATTATTGTTTTTAGTAAGTTTACAACTGTGATAAATGAAGAAAAAAGATATTTATTTTCTTATTTTGAAAATGAAACGTTTTTTTTTAAGTGTTTTTTGTTGTTGTCTGTATGACATGATATTCGGTTGTTAGTTTTTTGTTTTAAAATACGTAAAGAACAATTGGATGTTGTTTATCGTTGTTTTAACTTAAACGATGTTGAAAACTCAACAGAAAGAGTAATAAGATTGATAACAATGAGTTGCACTTGAGCACAAAAAGAAACAACGATGCTTTCAAAAGCATGCTGTATTACCAGAATACTAGGCTACTATGGTTCCATTATTTTGGTGAAATTGTTTTTTTTTGTCAATTTATTAATTCTTCGATCAATGTTGTAATACTATATGAGTTTATTTCTTTTCTCAAAATGAGTTTCAAAAAAAGTTTGATATTTCATATAAATATGAGCATAAATCGAAATAAAAAGTAGTGAATGAAAAAAAAAAACATGTTTCTATATAAATTGCTTTATATGTAACAATTTAGTATTTATTTCTACTTTTAATTAAAGATCAAATTATTTAAAAACATGCCATTATCATATCTTAGAAACTAAAATAATGACGATCATGAACACTATTGATAAAATCTTCTCAATAGCTTATCAATTCTTTGATCAATATCGTATGAGTATTTCAATTCTATCTGGACTAGGTGATAGACGTTTTTCTTCTATTCTCATATAGATTCTGTTACTATTCAATATCTGTTTAGTAATTATCTCATGGATTTATAATAAATTTCGAGTTAATCGACCATTCTTTTCAAGTAAATGCTCGATGAATGGTAAAACTGTTCTTATTACTGGTGGTGTTAGTGGTATTGGCTATGAAACAGCTAAAGATCTGCTTCAACGAGGTTGGATCACAATATATACTTTTGAATGATACGATAATTTAAGTGTTATATAGGTGCACGTGTGATACTTACTGATTACAATATAGAAAAAGGTAATCAAGCAATGAAACAACTTAGTTTTGAAACTAGATGTTATGAGAAAAAATATTCGATTAATGGAATGTGATTTACGTTCTTTTGAATCTGTTCGAAAGTTTGCTCAATTTTATATTGAAGAAGAAAAACGACTTGATGTTCTAATTTGTAATGCTGGTATTGCTTGAGCACCAAATCTTCTTACTAAAAATGGTTTCAATACAGTTATACAAGTAAATTATCTTAGTCATTTTTTACTAACAAACCTTCTTTTGAATAAATTAAAACAATGTCAACCAAGTCGAATTATTACTGTTGCATCTGGTTCACATAGACGTTAATAATGTATTCGAGATAATATCAATTTATCAAATGAATAAATTATTTAAAAACAATAGCTATATGATAACTTACAGATGTAATAATACTGGAATATTGAACTTATTTCTATACAAGATTTCTTTAGATAATCATTTCTAAAATGTTTGAAATGATATTTAAATTTTTTCTAGCTGTTCGATCAATTGATTGGTCAGATGGATTTACACAATTTAAGAATTTTCGTTTATGGGGTGCTTATCCAGTATCAAAAGCATTTATGCTATTATTTACCTATAAACTCAGATATGATCTAGATTTGAGTACATTAATATATAGTTTTTTTTTCTAATTGTTTGTTCTCTATGTTTATATTTTAATGTAATAGATGATGTTGATGTTTTCGCAGTCAATTCTAGTTGGGTACGGACATCAATTCAATCACCAATGCAAGACGCTATTGGATTTATTCCATTTATGATTTGTTATCCGATATTGTATATACTTAAATTTATCTTAGCTAAAACACCGAAGACAGGCGCACGAACAAGTATTTTTTGTGCTGTTGAACCATCTCTACGACATTCTCATGACTTCTATTTTGAGTAAGAATTTGACTAGACATACTAATTAGAATAATTTATTTGAAACTTTGTAGAGATTGTGCTATTGAAACAGTTTCATCTCTATGTACAAATCATACATTGGCTAATCATTTGTGGAAATTAAGTTGCGAAGCAGTTGGAATATAAATATATGTTCAATTATACTCGGTGTATTGAAATGTTATTTTTAAGTTAAATTGAATATGAATTATATATTAGAATAAATAGAATTATTAATTTTATTTTTTAATTTTTATTTAACTTAATAAACTATTAGTTGTATAAATATGTTTTAGAATGAAATAATATGATTTGTATCGAGCCTTAAAATAATTCAATAAAATTATTATTCATTTTCTATGTAAAATATTTTATCTAGGGCTAATATAAGGTATCAATGCGAAAGAAACGGTTAACAATATCCATATTCTTATATCTATTTTAAATATTATCTACGTATAAATAAAAACATGATTTCTTTGCTAGAAGGCTAATATCTTGTTGTATTGAGTTGAAAGTGTAAATGTATTTGAATTGAATTCTGGTTAAGTATAAGTGCAAAAAAGAATGATTTATTATACTGTTAAACTACTATAAAGACATCCATATGATCTGAATTTCGAATACATAAATAATTAGAATGAAAACTTCATTAATTCTATTTGTTTTTCTATGCATTAAATGCTCTGAGGTTGCCGAACCATCATATCAAAAGTTGTAAGCATAATCTCTGTCGAATTAAAATATGCAATAAAATATAGTTGCTGTTGCCCATTACAGGAAGGTTGTTTTTATTATATCTATGTTGAGTTACATTTCGTCACCATGCTGTTACTTAATCTTCACGAAATACAATAAGGAAGTAGTTCATATATTATAATGAGAGGTGATTAATATATGATCTGTGATGCGTGGGATGAACGTTGCTAAGAATATCCTTCACGTCTGTGATCAATCGTTGCTAACGTGTTTGTAAGAATGGGGTACAAATATCTCTCCTTACACTTCAACATTCCTTTTAGATTGTGTTTCATAAAATAATAAATACTTTTCTGTATTTTGTTTTAAATATTCGATGTGTATTGTTGAACAGAGAAATTATAACAACTATTTCAGAGTAAGAATTGACTTCATAAGTCTATTATTCATTTAAATAAGTCTCTATGTAAATTTATTGAAAATGATCAATCAACTAGATTTGACAATATGATTGTTATGGGTGAAATTATTTCTCTATGGTATCACTGACAGAAAAAAAGAAAGAATAGTGAACTTCAATCGTATTATTAGAAATGAATGTAAATGGTTTAGAACGAAAAATGACAATTAAACAAGTATAAAAGCTAATGTTTACATTAGTATGAATACGTAGTTATGTACTGCCATTCGATGACTAACATTACAAATAAATAAAGATACTTCAGAATTCTTATCAAATCATTTTAAAAACATTCGTTAGCATAAGTTGTTATAAAATACCTAAGTATTCAGTAAATATGAACAGCTTTCTTTTTTATTTAGCCGTTGATATATTTTAAAATTGTAAAAAAAGAAAAGTTTGAAAAAAATTAATAAAATTTATGCCTGATTAAAAAAACAATATAAGATGATTATCGTTCAAAATCTATCGTGGTTGAGTGACTAGAGCACCTGTAGCTGGCAATGTTGTTCTTGATTGATTTCCAGTTGTTGAAATAGGAGCACCTGGAAGACCGCCAATTACTGCTGTTTCTGGACTACCTATTATCAATAAATAGAACATAGATTTGTATAATTAATTAATTAATTAATATTGTACCTCGAATTTTGATTTCACGTGCTTCTTGACAAACACCACAAAGTGAACAACACCATGATGCACATAAATCACCAGACAATCCATGACCTTCTTCTAATCCATATGCTTCACGAAAACGTATTCGTGCTGGTTTATGTACAAGACAACAACAACCTGCTTCTGTCAAACAATAACAACAACAAGCACCGCAAAATCCAGCATCTGGATTAACTGTATGAACATTTTCACCAAATAAACAAGCTGTACAAAAACAACCATAACAACATATATTTACATCCGAACAACAACCGAAAATTTCCTCTAAAAATTTAAATAATTTATATTATAACATGAGATATTCTTACATACCTTTCCATGGTCGTGCATCAGCAATACGTCTTGCAGTCATGCTTTTTTTTTGTAATTTTATTGAAAATGATCTAAATCTTACAACTGGTTATATCAATACGTTTGAAAAATTCAGAATGTAATTGTTCACCTACAAATAAAAATGAATATATACTATGATGTTGTTCTGTTACAATTTCTCTATTCATACAATAGTATCATTTTTTGTACTTGAAGAATTCTTTTAGAAATAAAAAGAAAAGAAAAAAAGTTCTCGTTCACATCACGCCACTATGATGAAAAGACGCCGTGCACTGTCACATGCTGCAAACGTATGGTAAGAAGCAAAATTGGAATCGAGTTTTACTCAATATACCTCACAACCATGAAACATTTTAACTTGGTGTTTTTTACTTCTATAGAAATAAATTGAACCAAAGAAGTAATACAAAAAGAAAAACTTTTTTCCGACAAATAGAAAATAATTGTTTTACAAAGAATCAACAATTGAATTATATAATTAATATAATGAATTTTAATGCTAGTCAGATATTGAAAAAATTCTCGAATTAATTTTTAAATATGTATAATTGACAGAATAAATGATACTTTGATTGTTTTTGTTTTTGAGTAACGAGATATATCGTTTGCATGATCAAACTTCTGGTGTCATAGTTTCAAAGATACAATGTAATCTATTCAAGACTACAAATACATAATATTTAGGGAAAGTCAAAATTAGTAGCAGTAATTTTCTAATACTGTGAAGAAACTTTCGTTTTGAATGCACTGAGAGTAAAAATAATGCTTTATATTTCTGTAATACTTCGTCATTCTTCAACAAGTATCATAGTAATAAAATATTGATAAGAGTCAGTTGTTATGATAAGTAACTCTATCAGTAATACTCATTTTAAAGAAATGGAGACAGTTTAATATGTTTTTGAATAACTTTTAAGAGAAATAAGATATAGAGCTTTGATTTTCACTTTTAGAAAAATGAGATAAAACTCATTGAATCATGTATGACAAATTTCTTTTAAAGATCTTCAATCGTCTTTTCTAAAGATAAAACTAATCCAATAATGACTTATTACTGCCGAGATACTGTATTTTTTAATGGAATGGTGTAGTTTCTCTCAGAGATACCAGGAAAACTGAGTTTCAAATTCCACTTTGAAATTTTACATAGAGGAATACCTTAATGAGAATAATTTAGTGTAAAAGTTTCAGATCGTTTGATTGATTCTATCCTAAGACAAGGCTATGATGACAGCATGTTTTAAACACTGTTCGTATACAATGGTAAATTCCAATATTCTTGCTTTAGACTAGACGTAATAAAAATCTTTCACAATAAGCTATTCTCATTCAGATGTGTCTCCATGCGACATGTCGAATCGAAATTCGAAACTCAGTTTCCCTGATGTTTCTGGCGAGAACCATTGTATTCTGCTAAAAATTACAGTATTTCGGCTGTAATAAGCTATTAGTCAGAACTCTTTTCAAGGTATTCATAGCTCATCACAACACACATGATGCACATAGCATCGATTCAAAAAATGATTTGACATTTTAAAAATGTTGCTTCATAAATTCATATCATATTATTCGTTACATCTTTATCTTTTCTCTCTCTATCTGGTTTATATGAAAAGTGATTCAATAAAATTCTCCGATAGCTCCTTTTGTTTGAAATGACCATTAGAGTAATAGTCACTTATCCTAACGATAGTTCTGATCGAAATTTCGATACTATTATATTAATTGAAGAATAATAGAATATAGCAGAAATATAAAGCATTGTTTTTACTATTGATACATGCAGAGAGAAAGTTGCCTCAAGGTTTCTTTACAATACTGAAGTGCTACTATCACTACTTTTTGATTGCCCTAAGTAGATAGATAATTTCATGATTAATTACGATACTATCGAAGTCTATTCAAGATAAATAGTATTATATCCTTGTTAGAAATATCTTGTTTGACATCATTATTAATTGTTTCTTAGTATTAGCTTTCTTAGTATTATATCCTAATTAACACATTTGCACCTTTTTATTACTTTATCATGCTGTATATCCATATATATATATATGGATAAAACTGTCAGCATTTCTAACTTTCTCGATTAAATTATTCAGCATATTTGATACTAAAACAGTTGAATATTTCTTTATTCATTTCAAATAACTTAAAAAAATAACTGATACATATAATAAAAAGATTTGTTTTTCTAAACCCATATCCCACTTGGACATAATTTCCATAAAGTACTATTCACTAATTGAAGACGAATAGGCATAAGAGCATCTGTGGTTGTACCTGTTGATGATGATAATAGTGAATTTGTCGATGGTAATGAATTATAATGTTGTGGAGTAGTTGAATTTGGACGGATATTATAATTAGGATGAATAAGACCTTAAAATAATAAAAAGAATAAAATTAGTCTTAAAGATTAAATAAATTATATAGGCGTATTTATGTGATATGTGCTCAATGTGATTGATGAAAATTTTAAAGCTTAACAAAAAAAAAGAAAACAAACCTCGTCTAAGCTGTATTTATAAATTAGCTAAAAGTCATATAGGAAATATTTAACTAGAAAATTATGTATTCAATTATTAGACTTACTATTAATAACTGAATCTTCTAATTTAATTAATTCATTTTCAAGTTCATTTATTTGTTGTCGACGTTGTTGAAGAATTCGTTCAATTTCATCATTACGTTGAGTTAATATACGTGCTAATTCTTCTTGTTGATTAAGTGTAGCATTTGAACGTTCTAATTCATGTTGATATTGACTTATATCCTGTAAAATATACATCAATAGAGAAAGTATTTATCAGTATTTCTTTAGAGAAGAATTTCATAGGATGAACAATCTTAAACCTAATGAGTCTAAGTCGATTCTTATATAAAAACAATAATTTGATCCATAGACTTAATTTGAAATTTTTCTCAAATTGAAAATTCATGCAATCAAAATAAATAATAAGATGAACATAAGATTATC